CCAAATTGCTGCGGAAATCCTGTACAAAATTGAAAACAAGCACAGCACACGATTTTCCCGGGAAATGCGTGTTTTATGAACGGAAATTTGGCAACGTCTGAGGGTTCAAAAAACGTTCCTCTTTAGTGTGGCGCCTGCAGCTCGCCGAGATCGGATCGAAGGCCGCGGACCGATCTCAGAGTGGAGCGCTGTCGCGTTAAGGAAGAACACCGTATGCACATTCGAATGTTGCCAGATTTCCCCGGGTAAAACCTGTATTTGTGAGAAAATTTGCGCATATTTTCCCTTGAAACTTTCATAGACTTCAGAATAAATTGCGAACAAAATTGTCCGAAAAACGCGAGGGAAATTATTCAAGATATTCCCACTAAATATGCTTCTTATCGACGGAGATGAGGCAACGTCTGAGGGTTCATACGGCGTTTTTCCTCAGTACGGCAGAGCGTGACGCTGCGGAATTAATGGCATACCTCTCGTACTGCTAATTACATCGGCGAGTGTGAATGAGACAATGCGGCCAAAGGCATCCACCACTGCGCTACAACTGCCCAGTGTCATGTGTCCATCTGCCAGCTGACCAGGCAGGCTAACTTAGACACTGACGGCCAGATGGCCGCCTCGTGCCGCGTGTGGCCGCAGCCAGTCAGTCAGCTCTGGGATTGTATGATCCACGCTGCCGTGGTAAAGCCGGCTCCAGACTACGCGGCATTCGCCGAATATTACTCGCCGAATACCGAATATTTGGCAAGTCCCGCGTAGTCTGGATGGAACTTTCGCGTCTACTTGGCTCGTGTTGACGCGAGGCGAGTCACTCGGCTCGGCATTCGCCCCAACCCGCTAAGGCAGAACGCCGTATGAACATTCGAGGGTTGCCAAATTTGCCTCGATAAAACATGCATTTTTGTTGATGTTCATACACATTTTCCCTTGAAATTTTCAGATATTTTAGATTGAATTGCTAACAAAATTTTCTGAAAATTTAAAAAAAAAATATTCCCAAATTTCCCAGTAATTTTGGTTTGTATCGAAAGAAACTTGGCAACGTCTGAAGGCTTATACGGTGTTTTTCTTAGCACGGTAATATGGTTATGGGGCCTCCACACGCTTTTCCTCCGGGTTGTGGAGCCTCCCTATGGTTGTGTGGCCATTCTTCGTGACCATACAACCAAAATCTTGACAGAAAACGACATTTATTGGCCAAAAAAGAAGTCCGAGAGGTCAGGTTAGGTTGCTGGGTTAGGTTAGGTTAAATTAGGTTAGAAGAAGTCAGGCTGTTTCGGCCAAAATATCGTTCGGTTAGGTTAGTTTTATAACAACATACAAGTCCGGTGGCCCCACAACTTTCAACTTCAAGACTGTGTGTTTCAACGGCCTAAAATGTCTGTAATGCGTGCTAACTGATCTGTTACGTTACGTCTGCGTCAGTGGCTTGGCGTGAATGATCGACCATCGATAATTCCTCATTTGAAGCTATGGTAAAGAATCGATTATTAAGGTTTTCGTTGCAACACCCTATTTATCGAGTCTTTTCCATGGGTTTATATGACGGCTCAATCATTACATCGCAAAGCACGTCACGCCTGCGCCACTGGTCTGCGTCAGATTCCGGTCCTATTGGGTGGTACAGTGTCCACCTAATTCTGGGATTTGCAATATGGACCAATAGACACAAGGTACAATACAGAGGTGTGTTACATGTTCATCGGAGCGCTTTCAGATTTGAACTCCGCCGACCAAACAAATAGCAGTGGCGTGGCGTGCTTCGTGATATATCGATTGAACTAACATTGAAACCAATGGGGAAGCATCGATAAACAGGGTGTTTGCAACGAAAATCTTAATAATCGACTCTTTACCATACCTTCAAATGGGAAAATATCGATAATCGATCATTCACGCCTCGCCACTAGAGGCAAGTTATATTCGTCCGCGCACGAAAGAGGAAGAGGAAAAAAAAATCCAATGGGAAAGATGTAACTAAAAAGTGTGTAGCGACATATGTCGAAAATAGGTCGTTTGTCGGTTGATCGAATTCGCGGAATTTTTCAATTTAAGCGATTTATCTGTGTTTAATGCGAGCATCACGCGGATTTTACGAGCGGACCAGAATGTCCCAACAAGGCTTTTATGGTCAAAACACGCAAAAGTTGAATTTCTCATCGAATTCACTCTTAGGTCTTACCGCGTGGGCCACTAAGCAAGCTCTAAATCTCAGCATTTACTTTCATCCTGTCACTTCTTAACAATTTTACGTAGCAAACAATGCGAAGAACACACACTATTAGAAGATCATCCTCTAAAGAATCAGTTGCACTTGACACAGAATCGTCTTTTGGTGGTTTTAGCTTATACTTGTAGAATAGTAAAACATAGTGAAATCTGTTCTAACGCTAAGTTTCTACGTCCGATATTAATGAAGGTTTTCGAAGCTAAAAATAGTACCTAGTTTCTCATTGCAAAATGTAGTCCAGTAAGGTCACGCAGGAAAGACGAACCCGGCGGCTTGGCGTGCTTTGCGATATATCGATTGATCTGCCATTTAAACCTATGGAAAAGGATCGATAACAGGGCACTGAAATACAATTTTTGGACTACATGAACGTGCTATCCGTTCCGGCCTCAGAGGCTAAAAGTTCCGGGTGGTGGAGCCGTAGCTTCGTCTGCTCCGCACTGAAAAAAAAAAGTTCGGTAAATCCAAACTAGTTAGGACCGTATGGAATCACGATTTTATTCGGTACATACGACCGAATTATTAGGTATGCTCAGCCGAACTGTTCGGTCCACTGAACCAAACTGTGAGAATTTTCTATGGTTCGGTCACACAAACCGAACAATTCGGTTGAACAGACCGAATAATTCGGTTGTGTGTACCGAACAAAACCTGGTTCCATATGATCCTAACTAGTTCGGATTTACCGAGATTTTTGTTTTCAGTGCGGGTGCCACGCCCGGAATTTTCGGCCCCTGAGTCCGGAACGCGGATGGTATGTCTGTATATACAGCTTGTGAGTACGGTTTTCACGGCCAGAGTTTTTTTTTTCCAGTGGGTGTTTGCGACGAAGCCCTTGATAATCGATCTTTTATCATAGCTGCAAATGGGGAAATATCGATAATCAATCACTCACGCCTCGCCACTGATAATTCTCATCTCAGCTGTCTTTGCAATCGAGCCGAATGATAGGCGGCGGTGGTGGCCAGAGCCGTACGGCGCGGCGTAAGATTATCTGGACTACATTTTGCAATTAGGAACCATAAATTCTGGCCCAATTTAAAAACAACGTATGTGCCATTAGTTTCCCTACGCACATAAGTGTTTTTACGGGTGAGCCAGAATTTATAGTTCCAAATTGCAAAACGCAGTCCATCTGAAGTGTGAGGTGTTTTGCATAGCCGATGTTGCGCTATTTTGAATGCTTTAACTACCACCACACGCTCACCTTGCGGTGGTTTTACAACTCAAATTCGGGAGCTGCATCTAGGGTCACCGGTGTTTAGTTCCTGCTCAAGGGCGGCCGCGCTGTCAATTCCGCTGCCGGCCGTAAATCCGTGGAATAAAATTTTGGCGCTATTAATTTGTCCGTTGCACACGGAATAAACATATATTTAGATATCGATGGCTGAGAAATAATACTGTCTACCAGCAAACTGAACGTATTTATGCTAAATGGAAGTATGTGCAAGTGCACGGAGAGAAAAACTTCGTGCGTGGGACCTGAAGTTTAGGTCATATGGATTATTGAAGTTTTCGGATTAAGCACCTGAACACTTTAGATCCGGCTGCTGAGGTTTGGGTCACACATCTGAAACTTCAGTTCTTACATCTGAAATACTCCGGTTTTCACATCCGAAAAACTTCGGTTCTCACATCTGAAGTTTCAGATATGTGATCCGAACCTCGACAGCTAGACCTAAAGTGTTCAGATGCTCAATTCGAAAACTTCAGAGATCCATATGACCTAAACTTCGGGTCCCTCGCACGAGGTTTTTTTCTACGTGTGGAAAGATGGGGTGTGCTCGTTAGTTGAGGGCCATAAGAATGAATAGGGATTTTAAAGCGCCAGTGACGTCAGCTGTGACGACCGTGCTCGACGACGACGGCGAGCTCGTGGTCGGGGCGCTTTAACTCATGAGCCCTATCTACAACGCTCTTGTCACATGTCCAGGGCTCACGAGTTAGCGCTCAGTCCTTTTTTATTTAATATCAAATCCTGCTCTTTATTTTTCTTAAAAGGAACCATACTCACTTTTACATTGTTTCTTATCTAGCTTCCACGATCACACCCCATCTTTCCACTTGCACACAGTTCCTTTTAGCATAAATACGTCCACTGACGATATTGCCTACAGCAGGACGGAGAAAAAACTTCGTCGTTTTTGACATTTTCAGGTTATACACTTGCAATTTTTTTTATGTACATCGAAGCGTCAGCATTTTTACGCGGAGTTGGACAAAAAACTAATTACGTCAGCTTGCGTATTTTATACTTCATGACATTCTTGACCATCTATTTTTGATATTAGAATCTGAAGATTGACCATTGGCATTTTTTGTGTTAGAAGGTTGGCTGCCCTTTTGGGCCCTAAGAGCTCTGTTTCGACATGTCCGTACTCTCTCTATAAAGGTGCTCAAGAAAAAAATGGCTGTAACTCAATAATGAACCTGACTATTACTGCCGTGCTAAGGAAGAACGCCGTATTAACATTCGAAATTTGCTAAATTTCCTCCGATAAAATGATCATTTTTGAGGATATTTATGAATATTTTCTTTTGCACTTTGCATATGATGTAGTACTGGCTGCGAATGAAATTATCTGAAAAATTGGAGGAAAAATAATCACAAATTTCTATGTTAATTTGTAGTTTATCAAAGGAAATTTGGCAACGTCTTTAGGTTCATACGGGGTTTTTCCTCAGCATGGCAGTCTAGTTGCATGACAAACAATTCTTTATCCACCCCAACTAAAATTGTGGTCATTTTTGAAGAAAGAAAATCACTAGCTGTTAATTCCACACCAATCGAGTTTGTGTTTATTAAAAAAACATACATATAAATAAATACTCAGCATTTAAAATAAGAACTGTTCGTGATAAACCTATCCATGAGCTCGAACGCCCATCGAGGCTGCGTGAGAGGCACCATGTGACCCGTATTCCTCACCATGACTTCCGTAAACGTCCCGGCAGTCTTGAAATACCCAGCGACGTCAACCCCCACCCTGAACTGACATCGTTTAGCCTCACGATACTCGCTAGTACGAGGCCACTGTAACTTATCATAAAACGCGACGCTCAGGGGGTAAGCGACGATGATATCCAGTTGACCACTGTAGAACATAATCGGAAACTCCTCCGCCGTGAGTAGCTCCTCGACCCAAGGCCTAACCGACTGCATCATGTCATTCATCAAGTAGTTGTACGGCATGTAAAAGTCGTTGAATTCATAACTCCCGACATGGATGGCTTTCCTGACTTTCTCCTTCTGCACGAATTTGATGACCCGATCGTCGATCCCGATTTTATCGTTGGTGAAATCGTAAGGGTACTGAAAACCGGTGGTTCCGAGGATGTGGTTGAACTCGAAATTGAGCCAGTCCAGGGCGTCGCGGTACTCTTCGTCCTTAATGTCCTTGCGAGCGTAGTCCTCGTACTGTTTGAGTTTGGCCCGCGTTTTATCGTCTACCAGACCGATTTTGTAGAGGAAGTCGCTGTAGTAGAGCATGTTCTCGGGGTCGGTCAGACCGTTGCCGATCATTAGTCCTCCCAGGTTGATTTTGAGCGCGGCGCCTGGGACCTGGAAAAGCCGGGAGGTAGTGGGGTTGGTTGCATGACGTTTTGCCTAAAAGTCTCGACTTTTGATTCAAGATTTGCTTCTGTAATCCCTGGTAAAAATTGGCGATAGGAGTTGCGTTTCAAAATATCATAGGAGTTCTTATAGCCGACTAAAGATGGCTTTTGAAAATCATATGGCTGACTGTAGAAAGCGGAGCAAATCATATAGCCGGCCTATACGAACTTATAAAAAAAGTATACAGTTGGGCTATAGTTCCTATCGCCGGGCTTTACACTTTATCGCCATTGAATATAAGAGGCTATAAGAAATTGTGTAGGAATTCGTGTGTTTTGGAAATCATTAAGTTTGATACGGAACCTTAATATTTACAAAACATACGTTATATTTTCCTTTAAAACATATTTTTTTTCATCAATTAAAATGAGAATAATCCATACAGAGTGTGCAAACATTTCAAAATCATATGTTGAAAACCCTGACTCCGCCGAGATTAAATATTAGAGCCTAACATAAAGCGGAGCGGCGACGCACTGGCGCCTACAAACCTAACAGGGATACTTCACGCATTGCGGAATGCGTGAAGTATCCCTGTTAGGTTTGTAGGCGCCAATGCGCGTTTCACGTTCTCTGCCCGCCCGCCTCGCCGCAGCGTGCCACGGCGTCTGAAGCAACTATTTCACATCAGAGGTATTGCACAGTATCATAAGAAAATGAAGGCGCTCCAACATATTAAGAATGACAAGCATCCTTCAAAAGTACGGAGCTTTCCTCACAAAATAAATCAAGATACTACGGCACAAAAAGAGAGCGGTAGTCGAAAAACTAACTAAGTCCTAGTATCCGTAATTAGTAAGGTTTAGCATTAACTTTATCGTCTGGCTGTTGCTTAATCGCCATCGGCTATAAAAGGCTATAAGAAATTGTACAGCCGGCTACAGAAGCTATTGGAAATCTTACAGCCGGCTTTAGGTCCATAGTATTTTGGAACACACATTCTACTGCCAATTTTTAACCAGGGATTAAACATAAATAAACGCACAGTACACGGAGAAAAAAACTTCGTGCATGGGACCCGAAGTTGAGGTCATATGGATCTCGGAAGTTTTCTGATCACGCATCCGAGAACTTGAGGTCGAGCTGCCGAAGTTCGGATCCGACATCGAGGCACTTCGGTATACTTCACCTTATGGCCTCAACTTCGGGTCCCACGCACGAAGATTTTTTCTCCGTGTATAAAATACTATATTTCTGCTCTAAATTCAACGACAAACCTCTTTTCAAAGGCTAGTGCAATAAAAGCCCTGGTAGAACGCGAGGAAAAGAGTTTTGTTGCTTTTACGAGACTCGTAGTTTCTTCCAGGCCCTACCACAATTTTTAGCCTTAACTACAATGATGCGTTTGGGTAAAAGGATGGAATGTGAAATCTATTTTGACTATTGTAAAAGAAGCAATGAAGCGAGAGCGCTTTATTCTCCGCAGAACTCGGTTATCCTTCTATGTTCCTTCCAATGCTTTTTTAAAAAACTAGATTTCATGCCAAACTCAGAGCGAAACTAGATTTTCTTCATTCAACAATCAAAACACCGAAGCAAAAGTAAAATCTAAACTCAAAATGAATCGGTCAATCAATCTCAAAAATCTAAGAGGTTATAGCGAAAGAGAAAAAAATATCTGTTAAGTAGTTGCTAATAAAGAAGTAATAATCAAATAAAGGTTTTAAGGTGATTCGATGGACGCCATATTTTGTGTCAGAACGGCATGCGATATATCGCATCAATTGGTTCCATTTTTTCAGCTACTCGTCATTTTTCTCTAATGTTGAGATCGCAATTCTGTTGTCAGGAGACTAAAGCACTCACTTACCAATTTTAACAAAGAAATTCAACGTAATAAAGGCGTGGTTTTTTTAGAGAGAAAATATACCATTCGAGTGCAGTTTCGATATCAGTATCAAATGCGATGTTTTCTCTTTGAAAAAACCACGCCTTTATTACGTTGAATTTCTTTGTTAAAATTAGTGAGTGAGTGCTCTAGTATCCTGACAACAGAATTGCAATCTCAAAATTGGAGACGAGTAGCTGAAAAAATGAAGCCAATTGATGCGATATATCGCATGCCGTTCTGACAAAAAATATGGCGTCCATCGAATCACCTTAAGAGGGTAAATTTTTTGCTATGAAAGTATAAAAATCGAGTATTTATCCTTGATGTATTTGCTCCGCTTCATTGAAGCTTTTAAAAGTACGATCAGATCAATTACAAAAACTTCTCGTGTTGGTATTAATGTGGTTGGTTCCTTTTTTCATGAACCCCAGAGAGATATTACATATAAACGGACCTAACCAGAATCACCTAACTACATTACTCGTCACCCTATTCCTTCTCATGTTTCATTTTTGCATTCTCGCTGGTTATTTTCTGAAAAAATTGTTTTTAATCTTTCACAAACTTCCAGGCGCTATGCTTTTTGAGTCTCTATGAAAAAAGAACCCCTGAGAAGAACTTAGGAAGCATGGAATGTAGTTAGACTGATTCTGAGTCCAAATAGAGTAAATTTGGACTACAATTTGCAATTCGGAACTATAATTTCTAGCTCATTTGTAAAAAACGCTTATGTGTATGGGAAAAGTAATGGTACACACGCTATTTCCAGATGGAACCAGCAATTATAGTTCCTAATTTCAAAATGTATAATCCAAATAATTTTAGATACAATGGTACTGAGAATGGATACCTTGTTCTCATGGTAGATCTTGTGCCCGATCGCAGGGATGTACTTCCCAGCATAAGACTCTCCCGCGATGAAGAACTTGTTCCTCTGCAGACTCGGAAAGAGCGTGAACAGTTGAACCAAAGCTGTGTATAGGTCCCTCGCCACGTCGGTCTCATTTTTCGCAAAACCGTAGTAAGTCTTCGTAAAGCTGTATCCGGTCCCAACCGGTTGGTCGAAGAACAGTAGATTGCACCTCCGGTTCCAGGAGTACTCCCGCCTTTTCAATCTCAGATAATCCGTGACGGAAAACGGTCCGATCTCCGAGAAGAGACCGAAAAGAGAGCTGACGCCTGGACCACCCTGTAGCCATAGGATCGTTGGTTGCTTCAGCCAGTCGCCATGTTGGCTCTTGAATAGCCAGAAGAAGAGATTCGAGCTGTAGGTCTCGTTTACCGTTAAATAGCCAGCGAAGCTTTCAACGTTTTTCATCAGCGGTGGGACTCGGGCCAATTTTTGTGCTTCCGCGATTTGGCCTTTCTTGATGTAGGGTGTCAGGAAGAGTGCGTCGTCCGCCGTTAGTCCTGATGGAATGGGGGTTTTTATCTTTTTGTAACCGTAGAGGTCGATGAATGCGGAAATGGAAGTCGTCAGCGAGAGTATTATCACAAAAGCAAAATTAAAACGAGTCATGATCAAAACGCACTTTTCTCAACACGGCGGATTGAAAAAAAAAAAAAATAGTACGTTTTTTGGAGAAATGTTTTTCCGGCTGTTTTATATTATATTTTTGCAACGTTCGAAACGGGTCCCGGTTGCTATAATCACTGAATCAAAACGAAATTGGATTTTGTATTTATGGTTGCAGATTCACCTATCTTCCTAATCATTCTTTATCGAATATAACTGCTATACATATAATGGGTGGACTTTATCTTTAAAACGCAGGTAATTTTCCTGGAAGGGACAGTTCAATACTGAGACGCGTTCTTGAGTTTGTTTGCAATTCGTTCTACAATTTAGTTATTGAGTGGTCCAGAGGTAGTTTATTGAAAAAAGATAATTTATGAAAAACCCTTGAGTTGAAGTTGTCGGCACTCAGAATCTGACTGGGATTCTATCGGTGAGATAAGTTGAATAAGTACTCATTTGTTTAGACATGCATGAGGCAAGACAATAGGGTTTACAAATATACACGATGATCTAATGCAATTTGAATTAGTGGATGATTCATTATAAATAATTGGGCGGTTAAAAAATGTCGCGAAACGAGAGGAACACTCCATAGTTCCCCAGACGGAGGAAAGTTATTCCATTGAAAGGTTGGAAAATTATTCCATTTTTCTATGACATATGATTATGTCGGCATAACTTATGCATATGACATAAATTATGACATATATAATTGGCTGTTTAAGTGCATGAAAAGTTTTATAGGCTCTGAAACTTTTATTTTCAGACATTACTCTTTGGACCAAACGACCCATCACCTTTCGGAAATTCAAATTTTATACGCTAAAGCGCAGAAATATCTCACCTGGTAGGAGCCACTTTGGGGAAGCCATCGCCGCTTCAGCTGTTTCAGCGGGTCACTTATCTTACGCCTTAAGTTGTTCAGCCGACAGTCGGGCCAATGCAGTTGTTTATGGGTAACACTTTCGGAGAAATGTTGACGCTTGGGTGTCATATACTACTAAGTTTGGGCTTAACCACGGACGAAATCCTCAGGCATGCCATTGAAACGCGATTACTGACAAACACGCGTTAAGAAAATAGGTGCGAAAATTAATTTGTCACGCGATTTCAAAGCCAATACCGAAATATTTCTGCGAAAATCTGTTATTTTTAAAATAGAGTCCATTAAATGTTTTGAAAATGTTAGGTTTCTTGGTTTTGTTACATCTGATGTCTTATCATTTCGTTTAGACACGTATATTTTGTTATTGATTGAACTGATCATTTTTTTCTTAAACCACGCACATACATCGAAAAAATTCTTATTTAAGATTTTCAAAAGCACTTCCACAAACGCACACCATGATTCAGAAAAAAAGAGGAGTCTTTTTCGCTCTTCCGCGAAAAGAAATTCTCACGAAATTCTTATTTTGTTAGACCTTTCTGGTTTCTGAACACCCATTCAACAAATCGCCCACAATCGTCTCTGCGTTATTAGATCAAACAAAGAAGCGATACTTTCTGTTTTTGATGTTGTTAGAATTGATAACATTTAATCTCTGGTGTACGTAAAAACAGATGTTAGAATGAATCTATTGAAAAAAAAAACATCTCTTTCCCCAATTGAAAACCCTGAATAATTACATCTGCAAGAGTGAAAAAAGTCTAAATTAGAACCGTCCAGTCTTAGTGACAATAACGCGCACAGACTCACAGAGAACGTGCCGAAAGGTCGAGCAACTGAGAACGAACAGATCCGAGACGAAGTGAAAACGGATGCTGTCCGACACAAGCATCAGGAAAGCTCGAACAGAAGTTAAATTTACATCACAACAGAGGAAAACTTATGGATAACGAACGAAACCTGTGAATTTTCAAGCAAGTTTGCCACTTTTCCAAATTTTAGTTGCAAATCCTAGGTATCATAGAATCACGTCAAAGATTGTGAATTCCAGAATGATGTCAAATAAAGGCGAACATATAGGTTAATTAGTGCTGTATAAAACCCTTATTCCGATAGAATAAGACAACATGCCCCAAGGGAAGGTTCTCTATACTTACAAATAACAATCGGGATGTTAATTAATTACAGGAAAACTCAAATATTTATTTGCACGCTCCCGCTGTTAATTTTACAACCTGCGGGCTCTTTCACTGGAAGCAAACTCTTTTACAGAGAGATCCCACCGAATAGAAAAAAAGTCAGATTTGTTAACAGCCCTTTCTTTCTACCGACGTTCGGATAAAATCTCTCAAGGCAATAAAAATAAATGAATAAATTAACGGTTACGAGACAGGAAAGACACTTTCACAGAGACAAAGAAGATGATTTAATTTTGTTTCTTTTGAAGAGAACTTTCTTCTCTGACTGCCACCTCTTTCTGAATTACGCACGATGCATTTGAAGGGTACAAAGAACTTTTAAAAACTTTTACCGCAAGTTAAGCGTCATTAAGCTCGACTGATACAAATTACATTTAAAGAATGGTGTTATTTCATGTCATATTCAAACATCCATTCATTTCTAATTAGAATTTTGGGAGGAACGTGATACCTTTTTTCCACGAAGGTTCTGCAATGAAATGTCTTAGACTCTATCTGCTGAAATTACCGATGCTCTCAAAGTTATTTTTCCCGAGGCAAATCGTCAGTGGGAAGAAGTGTCGACCTCAAAGCAGCAGAAAATGCAAGAATACCCTGAAATTCTCACAGAAGATTCTGCTAAGTTCTGTCGTGCTAAGCAAAAACACCGTATGAGCCATCAGGCGTTGCCGCCTTTCCCTCGGAAATTCACGAATTTTCAGAAGAATTTCAAATATATCTCCTCCAATTTTTCTGAGAATTTTGTTTGTAATTTGATCTAAAACGTCTGAGAATTTCAAGGAAAAGCATCATAACTTTTTTCAAAATTTGATATTTTCTGGAAGGAAATTTGGCAACATTCAAATGCTCATTGGGCGTTTTTACTCAGAACGGCAGAATTGGCAACACTGTCCTCGTCGATTTAAATGTATGAAAAACAATCGGCATTCATCGTAGTATACTCTATCATCTACAATCGATTATTCACGATGGATTTCAATGGATGAAAGAAACAGTGTTGCCAACTTAAATGATCTCCACTGTCGATGCTCGAAGTGCGCAAAAGGAGAGGATTTGCTCGAGGAAAACTCAATGCGCTGCAGCATTGAAATCTTAAGTAAGAATCACACGATTCGAATATGAACCCTATTGAAGTTAAGATGTTCTTGCGAAACACGGTCCAACTTGGATATTCGGTCCGAAAATGTAAACACGGACCAACGTAGCAGAGCAAACAATAAAACTGGCCAAACATTAAACGAGTACAAGCTGTCTGCAAGGTGCAACGCTCGCTTGAGATAATGTTTTTCCTCCGACGCGCACGTAGCAATTTTCATCCACGTGGCCGAAATTGAGGAGCCGGAGGCAGGAGGGCTGTCGAAAATTTTCAATACAGCTGAAAGAGGAGTTATTCATACGTAAAGTTGCGCAAAGTCTGAGGTACTCAAATGTATCGCGCTTCAAATAATGGCTCTGGAGGCACAGTGCGAAATTCGCCTTCAGTTTCGTTGCATAGGCAACAAACCCACCGGGAAGTACGCACACAGAAAAAAAAAAGGATTGGTTGAATTTACCATTCCTTCACGCTGTATTTAACACAGCGTGGAGGAATGGTAAATCTACCATCTTCAAGTCGATTCTGTCAGAGGAATGGTTACCTGTGCCAGTATGTATAGTGACGTTCATCTTTTTTCTTGCAGAATTGACTCTCAATTGACGCTGTGCAAAATACAGCGTGAAGGAATGGTAAATTTTACCAATCTTTTTTTCAAGGTATCCAAAAATGTAATGTATTGTGATGTCTTACCTGATAGTATTCCTTGTCAGTCTCATCTAGATCATCCGCATTCCTCACGTCGGGATCTCGATTCTGTAGGAGAAAAGAAATAAATGATTATATAATAGTTATGATTTTTATGATAAATGATTTATTGGAATGATATCTTTCTAAAAGGATGTAAATGGGCCTGTTGCAAATTTCAGCTCTAGAGCAAAAAGATGGGTTGCTTACTATATAAAATGGCTCAAAATCACGATTAGCATCGCGAGAGATCAAAATACCAACTTAACTTCACAGTCTGCGTCGAAAATAGTCGTTTTTTAAGCTTATTCCCACTCAAAGAACGATACCACGGTTTTGGTGAACGTTTCGCAAGAAGAGCACCATGCAGTGCTTGCTCTCTAGGGTGCTGAGGAAAATTCAATATTGCTGACGCCAACCCGCCAAAAAACACGTTTTGAGGAGGGATTTCATCGACTCGTGTATTCATATTTAAATTTCCCTTGCGTTGATAAAGACCATGGTCCTTCCTCACGATTTGCGTGCGGGAGCGTCGGCCATGTTGAATTGCGTAGCATCCTAGAGCGCAAGGGTTGTATGGAACGACTCCTTTTACGAAATGTTCACTTGTGGCGTAGTTTCGATTTTGAATTATGGGAAGCTTAAAAAACGCATATTTCATACGCAGATTGTGAAGTTAGGATTGTGATTCAGATTTCTGCAATGCACTCATCGTGATTTTTGAGCCATTTTCTGTACGAAACAATTCTTGTTTCTGCTCTAGCTGAAGATCGCAACAGTCCCTTTACCAATGTGTCGTTTCTTTATGAAACGAGCCGTACGCCAAAACATTACTCTATATAAAGCTGCCGTTACCACTCACTCTGCCCCCCCTAGATAAAAATTGGCCGAAGCGATTTCCTTTAAAATTGGTACACGCTTAGCTATTGTAATGAGGAGTTGATTAAAATTATTCCCGTTCAAATCCGCTGCCTAGGACGCCCGCAAGAGCGATAAGTTGTTTCTCCATATAGTATTACATTGGAGATACGCGGTTGTTTACGCGCATCGTGCCGAACAGGTTCAATCCTGTTGCGTGACGTCACTGCCGTATAGACGAAATATAAGGTTTTAGGCGGTATTTTTCTACGGATTTTTGTGGAAATTGGTAAGCGGGGGTATTTTTCAACGGGGATCTCGAATTTTTGGTCGGATTTTCAAAATCTCAAAATCCAAGATGGCGGCCGTGGCCTAAAATGCTCAGTCGGCTCCTGTTATATTGATTTTCGTGAAACTCGGTATCCCGGGGTATTTTTCGACGAGAAACTCGAATTTTTGGTCAGATTTTCAAAATTTCCAAATCCAAGATGGCGGCCGTGGCCTAAAATGCTAAGTCGGCTCCTGTTCGATCGATTTTTGTGAAACTCGGTATCCAGGGGTATTTTTCGACGAGAAACTCGAATTTTTGGTCAGATTTTCAAAATTTTCAAATCCAAAAGATGGCGGCCGTGGCCTAAAATGCTACGTCGGCTCCTGTTCTATCGATTTTCGTGAAACTCGGTATCCAGGGGTATTTTTCGACAAGAAACTCGAATTTTTGGTCAGATTTTCAAAATTTCAAAATCCAAGATGACGGCCGTGGCCTAAAATGCTCAGTCGGCTCCTGTTATATCGATTTTCGTGAAACTCGGTATCCAGGGGTATTTTTCGACGAGAAACTCGAATTTTTTGTCAGATTTTCAAAATTTTCAAATCCAAAAGATGGCGGTCGTGGCCTAAAATGCTACGTCGGCTCCTGTTCTATCGATTTTCGTGAAACTCGGTATCCTCGGGTATTTTTCGACGAGAAACTCGAATTTTTGGTCAGATTTTCAAAATTTCAAAATCCAAGATGGCGGCCATGGCCTAAAATGCTAAGTCGGCTCCTGTTTGATCGATTTTTGTGAAACTCGGAGATCCAGGGTACTTTTCGACGGGGAACTCGAATTTTTGGTTAGATTTTCAAAATTTCAAAATCCAAGATGGCGGCCGTGGCCTAAAATGCTATATCGCTTCCGGATATCGATCGATTTTTGTGAAATTCGGTATTAGGGGGTATATTTCGACGGGAAATTAGAATTTAAGGTCCGGTTTTCAAAATTCAAAAATCCAAGATGACGAACGTTGTCTAAATTGCTATCTTGGCTTCCGATCCATCAATTTTTGTGAAATTCGGTATTAGGAGGTGTATTTCGACGGGAAATTAGAATTTTAGGTCCGATTTTCAAAATTCAATAATCAAAAATGGCGAACATGGTCTAAATTGTTATCTCGGCTTCCGATCCATCGATTTTTGTGAAATTCGGTATTAGGAGGTGTATTTCGAAGAGAAATTAGAATTTTAGGTCCGATTTTCAACATTTCCAAATCCAAGATGGCGGCCCCGCACAAAAACGCGGTCCGGACTCCCAGAACATCAATTTCTGTACAATTTGGTGAAAAAGAAGATTAAGACATAGATGTTGTCTCCTCATCAATGTTAAAAACTGTGCGGGGCGGTGGCGGCTCGCGGAGCGAGTCGCAAGTTCGTCGCGAAGCGTAGAACTGGGGTCCAGGGGCACTCCCCGGCTAGACGTGTCAGCTCGCAAAGCGAGCTAATCACGACTAGTCTAAATATAAGCTTATAGCCAGAGCGAGGGAAGTGCAAAGGGTCTAGATACCCCTTTTCCTTGACCAAGAGACCCTGGTAAAAATTGACAGTAGAATCTGTGTTCCAAAATACCATAGACCTACGGCCGGCTGTAAGATTTCCAATAGCTTCTATAACCGGCTACACAGTTTCTTATAGCCTTTCACAGCCGATGGCGATTAAGCAACTCAAAGCCAGGCGATAAAGTGTATGCTAAACGTCACCAATTACGAATGCTAGGACTTAGTAAGTTTTTGGACCACTGCTCTCTTTTTGAACCGTACTATCTTGATTTAATTTGCGAGGAAATCTTCGTACTTTTGATGGATGCCTGCCATTCCTAATATATTAGAGCGCCTTCAGTTTTGTATGATACTGTGCAAAACCTCTGGTGTGAATTAGTTGCTTCAAGCGCCGTGGCACGCTGCGGTGCGGCAGGCGGGCAGCCAGCGCAAAACGCGCATTGGCGCCTACAAACCTAACAGGGATACTTCACGCGTTGCGCAATGCGTGAAGTATCCATGTTAGATTTGTAGGCGCTAGTGCGTCGCCGCTTCGCTTTGTGTTAGGCTCTAATATTTAATCTGGCGGAGTCAGCGTTATTCAACTCATGATTTTGACATGTTTGCACATCCTGTATGGGTTATTCTCATTTAATTGATGAAAAAAAAATATGTATTAAAGGAAAATATAATGTGTTTTTTGTAAATATTAAGGTAGTTCAGTATCAAACTTAATGATTTCCAAAGCACACGAATTTCTACACAATTTCTTATAGCCTTTTATAATCGATGGCGAAGAAGCAACAGCCAGGCGATAAAGTTTAAAGCCCGGAGATAGGAACTATAGCCCGGGTGCATAATTTTTTATCGCTTCGTATAGCCCGGCCGTATGATTTTCTCCGCATTCTACAGCCAGCTATATGATTTTCTGTAGCCTTCTTTAGCCGGCTATAAGAATTCCTATGGTATTTTGAAACGCAGTTCTTATCGCCAATTTTTACCAGGGGAACGTCATTTTTTGTGAAATAACGAGCATTATTGTCCTAAGGCAAAGCCAAGCAAGAGAAGGAGGGGCTTAAACCATTGCCCCCAAACTAAAATCCAAGTATTTTTTATCTTTGAAACTGCAACACCATCCCACCCCCTCCCTCCTCTTCAAAATTGCAGGCTACGTGGAGAAAAATGGTAACGGCCTCGAAGAGAGTCTAAAGCACACAAGAAATCCATCAAACAAAGAACAGTTTTGATAGGAAAAATCACACGAAAATCGCGTTCAGCACTTTGGAAATATCTATATTCTGATCACCGGCGACTGAGAAAACTATACCGGCGGACGCAATACATTTGAGAATAGCTGTATTGACTACGCAAATTAAGCGTTTAAAGGAGGATTGAGACATTTCTGATGTTATGAACGTGATTTTTGAACGATTTTACTTTCTAAAGTGTACTCAGTTTATTGTGCATCTTGTGAGCAATGGCACATTTGTTCAAGTCGACATCGAATTAAACTCAAGGCTTTGAATACACAGATTTTAATGCTATACTATATTTATGAGAGGACAAGTTCTTCTAAACAGAGCAAAACAATTTTTCTTTAAAAAAAAAAAACAAAAAAAAAACAAACAAACAAGTATGAAGTGTGCCCGGAAGGAAACCTCACTTATTTTTTAGTTAATCAATTAAAAATTCAGGGATCTTACTTCAATCCAAATCAGAAATACATACCTAATAAAATATTCCAAAACTAAAACATCAAACCAGATGAAGCGTTTTTTTTTCCTGATTCAACTTATTCCCTAGACATCGTCTCTACATTTAAGGTGATCATTTTTAGGCAGAATACGACGGTAAAGGCGGGAGGGGGGTGAATTGCAGAAAGTATGATAAAAGAGATTCAACCACAGAAAAAAAAATAGACTCAGCTACAAATAATATTTATTTACAACAAAACTATAATGTAGATTTTAGCAAAAAGAAATTAACTGTTTTTGAGAAATCCAGGTAAGCTGGTTAAAGTAATAAGAGGTTAAAATAATCCTTAATTTGATAATATTTTACAAACAAACTATAGAAGAATGAGAGAAAATTTGTTTTAAAGAAGAAGTCACGGAATTGATAGGGATAGGAAGTGATGGAGTTCGTACAGCTCAAATAATTAAGTGCTTCAATAAATGATTTGGTGAAAAATGAGCAAATTTTGCAGCAGTCTTTTAAAAGTTTCCTTAAACGACTTCCAGTTATTCAGACAGTAAACATCTGCTTTATTTTCCTCCGATACAAACTAAGTTTGAGCATGAAAAACTTTAAGATTTTGGTATCTTTAAAAAAGTCAATCGAGAGTTCGGTCACAAAAGCGAAGAAACCTATAAACCATCCCAGGAGCAGAGTGATGAAAGACGTTTGCAAATCTTTCAAGC